GTGTTGAGTGAAGACGTAGCGACGTATTCTCAGGTCAGTGTTGAGTGAAGACGTAGCGACGTATTCTCAGGTCATATTATATTATTATTTTATTATTTACTCATTATATTCAGTGACTTCTATTTCACGTGTGGCTACTCGTTCACTATGGACTGTTATTACAGTCCATATAATTTGTTCATTATATTCAGTGACTTCTATTTCACCTGTAATAACAGTCCATATTATTTACTCATTAATAATAATATAAATATTCTATTTTACGTGTAATAACAATATTAATATTCTATTTTACGTGTAATAACAATATTAATAATAAGAAGAAATTGTGCAGGTACTGGCGGCTGAGCAGCGGCGAAGAGAGCGTGGAGAGCGCCAGGAGCTCAGAGGAGGGCGACGCGATGCTCACATGCGCCTTCTCCCCACTGGGCGGCACGCTCGCTGTGGGGTCAGTGGTCGGACGGCTGCAACATTCTCTTAATACAGTATAAGCAACTAATTTCTTTTGGAAATGAAATATAAGAAACTAATAAGCATGAAATATGAAATATAAGCAACTATAAGCAACTAAACTTGATATAAGCAACTAATTTCTTTTGTATATGACATGGAAAATTCGTGGGTACCTGAAATGTTAATGTAAGTCATGTTGTCATTTGATTGATGAGTCATGTTATCAGCATCCAATGTTGCCTAAGCGCACGGTGTACATGAAGTGTTAAATCTTATAGAGCTGAAAAACATTACGTAATCGAATTCATTATACTACTTTCATTAGATGGACAAAAAATTATCTGCGTGATGTACCCTCGATCTTATTTAATAACGCTATACTTTTTCTTTTTATATATATGACAGAACATCGCTTGATACCCATTATTGATTCATGCGTTTGTAAGATTAAAATAGTAAGATTAAAATAATTCAACGCTGTCCGTATTTATACGGTTTTTGTTTCATTGATTCCGTTGCATCGGTTTATTCGTCTTTTCTCAGTAAATAATTCACCGGTTATTCATCATTGTATTTGCAATGAAAACATTTTTTTTGTTTCTCTGTACAGTTTCATTGATTCCGTTGCATCGGTTTATTCGAGTCTATTCTCACTAAATAATGCACCGGTTATTCAACATTGTATTTGCAATGAAAACATTTTTTTTTGTTTCTCTGTACAGTTTCATTGATTCCATTGCATTGGTTTATTCGTCTTTTCTCAGTAAATAATGCACAGGTTATTCATCATTGTATTTGCAATGAAAACATTTTTTTTTGTTTCTCTGTACAGTTTCATTGATTCCATTGCATCGGTTTATTCGTCTATTCTCAGTAAATAATGCACCGGTTATTCAACATTGTATTTGCAATGAAAACAATTTTTTTTGTTTATCTGTACAGTTTCATTGATTCCATTGCATTGGTTTATTCGAGTCTATTCTCACTAAATAATGCACCGGTTATTCAACATTGTCAACATTGTATTTGCAATGAAAACATTTTTTTTCAGACACTCGTCGGGTTCGGTTGTGCTGTTCTCGGCACCGGCACAGGTGCCATCGCTGCTGCACTTGGCGCGTATGGCGCTGAGACGTTCTTATGGAGACGTCGTCTCCAACAGATCCTTCCTGCTACCTTATTCTCTTAAGCCTTACCTTCAATATAAACACTGGTGAAGATGCTGCTGTAGTATTAACTCCAATAAACGAAAGGGTTTCTGTGAATGAAGATGTAAACGCTAGTCTCACTTTCCGGCACCGCAACTTGAGTATAGAATAGAAGTGTCGGCGCTGAAGAAATAGGCCCATGGCCTGTTGTACAAACACAAGCGAAATGTCAACAAGTATTCCAGTAGTAGAACCCTTCTCAGTGCCAATGCTCGTCTGTAGTCAAATGCAGTGTCGTGTTTCCGACGGTATTCCTCCTGACTGTCGTGAGCTCGTGGTACCTGATAGCAGGTCTTATTGTTATGCAAGCTAGACACTTATAATGTTCATGTCGAGCTGACGTACGGCGCATTATGCCTGCGACCTTAGGGTACGCACACAGTGGAAGCAGGGTTGCCCGCGCGGGCAACCTGCTCCAACCTGCCACAAGAATGAACATAGGATAATAATGTAAGTGTTCACAGTGAAAACCTGTACGAATAGGCTTCTGTATTCTATGGTTTCAGGCGCCAGCCTGAGCAGGTAATCAGCACGCTGGCAACCTGCTTTCACTGTGTGCGTACCCTTACGTTTTATGTTCACATATCCCTTTTCTTTCCTTCATCTCTTAGAGATGCTAACGTTATTTTTTCTGGCCAGATACCGGGCATTGGTCATTTAGAATTTTTTTCACTTGTTGATGAAAAACTTTCTAATGTTCGTGTTAGATGGATAGTTCTGAGGCGCGATTAAACATTATATACATGGTATTATCACTTCAACAAACAATTGCAGATGACAATGCAACTTGAATGGCTGTAAATGAGAAGTATGATGCGTCTGCCAGTATTGCCTGTGAATGTAGGTACTCGGAGCAGTATTCTACCGAAATTGAGTATTGTGAAACGTAAGCCAGTATTGCTGTGAATTAAGGTATTGAGATGCATCTGCAGTAATAGCCAAAGCTATAAGTTTGTTGAGGCCTCTGCTAGTCTGTATGACCCTAAATGAAAGCAGGAAGAATGTAACGATAGTGCTCAGGTTAAAATTATGATGAAGTGTTTGCCAAAATCATTGATATTAAAATCACTTGTTTGCTTGAATCGCAAGTTAACCAGGAATTTAAAAGCAAAGAAAATACCACAAAAATTCACCATATCTTTATAAGATATAATATAAAATTCACCATCTCTTATAAAGATATGGTGAATTTTTGTGGTATATTCTTTGCTGAAAATCATTGATAATATAGAATTTTAAAATCTCGAATGAAGTGCTAAAGCCCAACACATACCAATAAGAGTTTGGTCATTTAGACTGAAGATGTAAGAGTTTGGTCATTTAGACTGAAGATGTAAGAGTTTGGTCATTTAGACTGAAGATACAGGGTTGAATTTCACGACGTGCATTTGCTGGTTACATCGTCAAGTTTATGTAAGAAAGAATGCAGAATAATTCCTCGCAGTTGGCAGCTCGGTAAACGATGAACTTGCTAATTATTAAGAATTTTCTACGAGCTAAAAATCGTTTTGTGTTAAAATATGAAAGAAACCCTAGCGAAAATGTAATGCGTGCCGCTGTCACGATTATTGCAACGTCCAACGTTATCATGAACTTGACAATTGTTGCGTGAACGAAGTTTGTTATTAATGGTATGTAAGTTATGCAAGTTTAGTTTTCTTTCTAACTAGACGACAGTTCATCTAATTGGTAATTGTTATACGACGTTAATGTGATTCTTCAGTTGTTAACCTCGTCTGTGCAGGTGATGATGTGTACGAACCGGCATTTATCATTCCATGCTATCATATATAAATGAAGTAAACCAGCGTAGAACATACGATTTGTAAACTCAGTTACACTTAATTAGAATCAAGGAAATTTCACTATTATTCAACCATTCACTAGATACATTTTGTCCATGATTTACTGGGTGATTCACGGGAACTTTCCGTTTTTTTACATCACGCCAAACAGCTAGATGTAGGGAAAGGGCCAGGAGTGTTTCGTATAAAAGGAAAGGTTATGAAGTCTTGTGCCCCGCCTAGTCAGTTGCCACTATGCTTTGGACAAGTGAGCAGCGTGAGTTTGCTGTCGAAGCGTGTTTTTCTAATTACCGTTTAATATCGTTACTCAACGAGCCTTCCGCATTCGTCCTTCAAGTCGGGTTCCTGATCGGAAATGATCGTTACGTAGGTGGACACATTTAGGGAAAGATGTATTAAATCGATTTTTGACAATGACTGTTCAAAGAACCCTACCTCATTTGAAGAACAACATGCGCCAAGCCATCGCCAACATACCCGTCAATATGCTTCAACGAGTTGAACGGAACCTCAAAAATGGGCCAAGTGAATCCATTGACAAATGGGCCATCATTTGTCCGATGTCCTTTTTAAAACTAAGTGATAAGAAAGTTCGGGCAATGTAATTTTCAATAAAATTTATATTGTAATATCTCTACCATTTATTTCTTCTTGAGCTTTCAAAACGAGAAGTTTCCGTGAACCCTCTAGTTATCTATTCACATTAATCAATTATCTCTCGCTACGCTCACTATAATGTTAAGAAAACTTCACTCGGGCTTTTTCGAATAAATTATGAATAAGAATCTTACTGCAATAATTTTCCGCATCTTGCTCGTTCATTGCTGACATTTTGAAATAAATTATGTAATTTTTGAACAGTTTGTTTCATTGCTCACAAGCCAAGGGTTTGTAATGAATGAATGAAACGAGCAATGCTTCGGGGCATCATTATTCTGCAGGTCCAAGATAAGGTCCGATACGCGCCTTACCTCCTTCACATTCTGTGGCTACTCGTTCACTAGCGACGTTCCTGAATAGCCTGCCTAATTACAAATGCTCCACTCTGGCTTTCAATATTAATGAAACTCAAATTGGTGAGAATTCCACATAACTTTCTCATAAAAGCGAATGTCAAACTAAAGTCGACCATGGACAACAGAGGTCTTCAACTCGAACGATCATGAAAACTGAGAGTAGAGTAACTCAAATTGATGAGAATTTCACATAACTTTCTTATAAAAGCGAATGTGAGACAAAAGTCGACCATGGACAATAGAGGTCTTCAACCCGAACGATCATGAAAACTGAGAGTAGAGTAGCTCGTGCAACAGCAACTCCTGAGGCTTAAGAAAAACCTACGAACCCCCAAACTAACTTTATACTAGTATAATAATCCAGTTTAAAAGTAACTTAACACGTAAAACCAAAAACATATTTGTCTATAGACTGTCAGGAGAGAGATAATAGATATCAATGAGTACTGAAACAAAGCCCAAGCAGAGCGTTACAAGCGACATATGCACACAACTGTACCCTGTTCGTACAGGTCATTGCTGCACCGACTCTCAATGCACGTCTGCAATGCTAAGGATAAAAGTTATACTGCACATAATTCATTATGTGTGCTTTCAGTTTACAAATTCAACTGTTTTTATGTAAAAGCACAATCCGAAATGCAATCGTCTACGCTTCTAAATAGTATCGAAGTACGGGGGTTGACAAATCATCACTCCACTGGAAGTCATTAACACGTTAAGTGCGGCAACGACCCACAGCGCTGGCAGCTGGCCTAAAAACGGCCAAGTCCGCTGCTAAAAAGGCCTATAATTCAAAATATACTAGTAAATTTGTAGGTTCAGTTGCAAAAATTAAATTTTCCTTTATTCATACATTTTATATTTTAATGAGGCAGTACTGCCATTATAAATTTTTGTCAACAAACGCAATTGAAAAAAAAACTAAATCGCGGAATTTATCTTGAAAAAAGACCCTGCCACCCACCCGTGGGTCGTCCCGCACTTAACGTGTTTATTAATTAAGGCAACAACCAATAGCAGGATAAACATCGATCATCACGTGAAAGGCAATTCATTAGACGACACGAGTCTCTCCAGCACTTGCGGCGTATCAACTCTTCAAATGAAGTCGTCGTAGTCGGCCATGTCGTTGTATTGGTCGGTAAAGTCACCAGGCTGCAACAAACAAAATAATGTTAATCAGTCCGACGACGACTCGGAGACGGAGGACGACGAAGGCGGCGCATCAGCGTGACCTTGGACTACGACGTCCTAAACTCATCATAAGGTCATAAGATAAGTCCTCATTTGCTGTCCAGCTAGAACCCGTTTTCTTATTCAATTTCGTTTAAGCGCTATTAAATTTCGCATTATGGGAAAACATATTGAGTCAATGAAAGAAAGAGTTTATACAACGTCATATTAATCACTATGAACCAAAACAAAAACTTAGTTCGCTACAGGATTATACAGGATTATTTTGTTTATGTTATATATTGTAACTGTAGTAAGAGATTAGTTATTTCAGTGATTGTTAGTTGACGTAAATGCAGAAGTGAACAATAAGTTTATGAGTGTATCCGGACAAGAAATATGAAAAATGAGGTGAATTCAATCCAGAAAATATGTAAACGCAATGACTGACCGTTTTCTTGATGGTGTTAAGCTTTGCTTTATCTCCAGCTTTTTTCTTGCCCTTAATAGGCTTGTTGGCTTTGAGCTTCTCGTTGAAAAGAGCCTTTAATGATGCCGTCACTTTACTCAAGTCATCAGACTCCACTGCGGAAAGAAAAAAATTTATTATCTTCCAGCAGCAAGTTCTAAGTGATGATTACATCAAATGTATATTTATATATACTGTACATAGTTTCCTGAAAGAAACTTGTAGCACAAAAGATGATTTTTACTTAAATCAAAGGAATGATTACACCAAATGTACATAGTTTCCTGAAACAAACTTGTAGCACAAAAGATAATTTTCATTTAAATCAAAGGAGTTCTTGGATATAATCAAGAATGAAATGATGCCACTCACAATTAGCGCATAGTTCTTTGCAGAAGCTCTCTAGGAAGGTAGCATAATAGGTCTTCTTCTCTAGTCTATCAGTATCACGAATTTTTTTTATAACTGCTGCGCCGAGCGCCTCGAGACCTTCTGCTGAGCTCAGGTCTGCATCTTCAAGGTTCAGGGCGTTCTTCGTGTCTGAGAAAAATACACCCTGTAAATAAATGCTTTCACGACTCAAATACGCACAGAAGAACTTCCAGTGCCTTGGAAAGTTCTCTGCGGTGATGGTGTCTGTTCCGCATCACAAAAAAAAAATTGACATAATAATTCTTAATTCTTCAAGGTTTAGGGCGTTCTTCGTGTCTGAGAAAAAATACACCCTGTAAATAAATGCTTTCACGACTCAAACACGCACAGAAGAACTTCCAGTGCCTAGGAAAGTTCTCTGCGGTGATGGTGTCTGTTCTGCATTACAAAAAAAAATTAGGAAAGTTAAAAATACACCCTGTAAATAAATGTTTTCACGACTCAAACACGCACAGAAGAACTTCCAGTGCCTTGGAAAGCTCTCAGCAGTGATGGTGTCTGTTCCGCATTACAAGAAAAAAAAAAAAAATAGGGAAGTTGACAAAATTAAGATGTTTTCAAGTTTGACATAATAATTCTTAATTATTCAAGGTTTAGGGCGTTCTTCGTGTCTGAGAAAAAATACACCCTGTAAATAAATGCTTTCACGACTCAAACACGCACAAAAGAACTTCCAGTGCCTAGGAAAGTTCTCTGCGGTGATGGTGTCTGTTCTGCATTACAAAAAAAAATTAGGAAAGTTAAAAATACACCCTGTGAATAAATGTTTTCACGACTCAAACACTCACAGAAGAACTTCCAGTGCCTTGGAAAGTTCTCTGCGGTGATGGTGTCTGTTCTGCATTACAAAAAAATTAGGAAAGTTAAAAATACATCCTGTAAATAAATGCTTTCACGACTCAAACACGCACAGAAGAACTTCCAGTGCTTAGGAAAACTCTCTGCAGTGATGGTGTCTGTTCCGCATTACAATAAAATTAGGAAAGTTGACAAAATTAAGATGTTATTAATTTTGACATATGAATTCTTAATATTTATAGTCCGTAAAAAAATTATATGACCATAAATAACTTGGATGTTACAATTCAGAAATAAAAGAAATCCGTTTTGATTAATCATAAATACATCATAACAACATAATTAAGATGATTTAATGGAATAAATAAACCTGTTGTAACTGAACCCTTTGCAGCAACTCCATATGAATTAAGGCCATTAGGATGAAAACCTTTCAAATACTATCAACAAATCTTCAGATCAGCCCTTAAAAGCTGAATCAAAATTGCAACGAGACAGTTTAAAATATGTTTGAGAACTAATTAGAAATAGAATATGACAAGAACTGTACCCGATTCTTTGATGCCCATCATGTCAACAGCAAACTGCAGGTCCGACTCTTCTTGAATTTTTTGGATTCGCAGTTAAAATATGTTTGAGAACTAATTATAAATAGAATATGACAAGAACTTTACCCGACTCTTTGATGCACACAACGTTTCAAATGGAACGACATTCATTTTCAAGTTTATAGGAAGCAATGAATACAAAAATTTTGGTAGAAATAACTATATGATACACGTAAATATGATACAACACAAAGATTTGGAACCAGGAAAATAACTCGGGAAAATTCTAAAAAATTGGAAAATCCGGTAGTTGCGAGATGGAGCTGGAGTCTCCAGCTATCCATCTGGTAAATCTACAATTCAGCTATCTAATACTCAAGAAAAACCAAGTCTTGAGGATTGTTTTAGAGTTATTTTCACTTTTAAAAACTTTATTGTTCTATCAAGATCTGCGGTGAATTCAACAGGCTCCGAGACACCCTTAATTAAAACTTCAAACTACTGGCATATGCAGCAATGGACTCTTAAAAAAAGCGGGTGTTCTTCAAGACAAATTTTGCTTCAAAGAAGGTTGTTGACTTCTTCATTCTTTTGACTAAATTGGAGTAACTACTTAGACATTGAGCAGCTATTTATGTTACCATATGAGACAAGATCGCAACCAGACCAGGTCTGAAAGCATTACAATCAAGCAACTTTATCTGAAAATCTGCAATGAATTCAACAGGCTCTGTGACAGCCTTGACAACAACGTCAAATTCAACGCGACTGTCACTTGCACTGTGCTGGAGGAACCCACCAGCATCGTCATCTTGCAGTGGCCCGACGATAGCTGAAGCCGTCATCTCTACGGATTTTACTTCGGGTATCCATTTAATAACTATCGGATTATCAAACCTTTTAGTTTTGGAGTCATTTTCACGGTTCCAAATTTTTGTGTGGTATTATATTTACGTGTATCATGTAGTTATTTCTACCAAAATTTCTGTATGAAATGCTTCCTATATTTTGATAATGAATGTTGGTACATTTTAAACTTTGTTAATAAATTAAAATTACTTCTTTAAAAAATGTTACCTCCAACTAAAAAAAAAAACTGCTGCATTACAATTAATAACTTTAAAAATTTATTTATTCATTATTTATTGTAATCCAGCAGTTTTTCCAGTTATGAATATTGTCCTGACTTCAGAGAGAGGAAAGTGGTCAATTGGTGCAATCTATTTTTCTTAGTGTAGTTAGGCAGAAGTTCTCCATTTATACAGATTTGATTGAAGATTTTGAACTATACTTGTGTCATGTCCAAATTTCAATTTTAAGCATTGTAATAACTCTGCACTTGCTGATACTGAATAATGATATATTTGAAACATTGCATTCCAATAAAATGTCATTTGGTAATCTGCTTTTTGATCTACAAGCACCAACAAGAACTTAATTTTTTTCTGCACATTCAAGATCAACAGCCACATCTAAGAAAATATTTATTTTCTCAATATGCCTGTATATTCAAGTCATCAATACACGTTTCCTTCTGATTTCTTGTATGTGTAACAATGGTATAATAGATAAGAATTCGGTTTTATAGATATTTACCAATGATGCTTTCAAGACCCCATATGAAATGTTCAATCATTCATTTCAAATTTGGACTATTAATAACATATTCAATTATAATACTGTATAACATATTAAATATATAACATACTCATATTAACTATAATTGAGTCACATATTACACAATCCCTATATAAACAAATATGCCATTACCTTGACTCGTCCTTCATCTTCACCCTCCCATTTATCATCCTTGCTCTTCACAGCAACGGGCACAGGTGGTGACACCTCAAAATCTTCATCATCTGTAGACATATAAATAATAATTACATAGAAAATTTCACTGCATAATAGCACAATTTACAAAATATTAGGAATACCAACACAGCATTCATGACAAGCGCAATAATGTTTTTTTCCATAAATGTGAAAATCTGCTAAAAAGAGATCAAAAATAATGAACCTATAGAGTGCACTCAATTAGTAATAGTAATAGCGGTTTCAGCGTTTATTAGGCCGTAGGCCGGTCGCCGATTCTTAACATCGCAGAACATTCACAGCTTGATGTAGTCTCGAACCCACAACTCACTGCTACAATTCTGCTGTGCTTAACCGCCCGGCCTCCTTGCCGATTCTGACCAGAAACTGGCGCACAGAGCTGGGATCGAACCCGCGCCTCTCTGCGCCAATCTTGGTACTCTGAACTGTAACCACTGGGCCACCCTGCCACCAATTAATTACTGTGACTGGAATTCAAGAACTTTAACAATGTTGAATGAATAGTTTTTATGTGTAGTATACCTAAAATGAGAACTCAGCATTATACTCTTAGTTTGGCTGTGATGGCATGCATTTTTCAAGTCTGCAAAGGGCAACTTGCTACTAGGACTTAGAGGCTCCTACCTCCAGGCTACCATAGTAAAATGTTTCCCACTACAACACAAGCTCTTCAAAAATTCTTCATTTAAAGGTTGCATGATGCATCACATTTCGACTTAATTTTCAAGTTAACCCTTTCATGGGCAAGTTGCCATATATTGTCACTTGAAATCGCCTCACAGAGACCAACCACGGCCTCCTGTTTGTGTTTGAGGCTTCCTTATCATGCCTCAGTCAATCCCTAATTATTTGACCATCGTGCCATCCATAGCCCCACCACCTGCCATGCCCAAAAATTAAAAATACAAGTATTTAAATGAGAGTTTTGACAATGAAATCAATGCTCTTTCCATATTTTTTAAGTATCAATATATTTTCAATTAAAGATAACTTGATTGAATTAAAATAAATTTTTATATTAATTATTTTTCATTTGTATAAACTAAATTCTGAATATAAAGAAAATATTTTGTGTAGTGACACATTTAATGAATTCTTCGGGTGTCATTTAAACATACAATATGAAAAATTAAAAAAAAATACATACAAATAAATATTTTGTATAATACTTCTTACTTTCTTGAAGTTACTTGAAATTTAAATGCTTGCCTGCAAAAGGGTTAATAGGTTAAGCAAATAAGCATGCTCTTATGTGCAAATTTCAGTATAAATTCCAAAAACCCAAGAAGCTTTCTGTTTCACAAATTTTTTCAGTCTATAAAATTTTCTGCACAGATCAACTGAAGTTGCTGAGCATGGCATGTTTTAGGGGCCTTGCTTCAAGAAGCTTTTTCAGTTCTAAGGAAGAAATAAAGGAAATTTTGGGAATAAATAATTTTGTGGCAATGTATATATATTACTCCCAAATTTGCACTCCTGTGTAAAGCCCACTTCCACAAAACAATAGGTCATCTGCCCTAGAAAAATAATTTCCAATTGGGTTTCAAGAAAAATAAAATAGATTTTAAGCTCAAAAACCATGGCTGCATATTTGATAAAAACAATAATCCTTGCTTTAAATATCCAACTAAGGCTCTGATTGAGAACCGCGAGGCTTTGAACAGGCTCGGCTTTTCCCTTAGAGAGTTTCTTCACAAACTAGGCTGGACTTTACACCACTCGTAAATGAGATGGTGATATGAATTTTTCAATGTTCACTCAGATATCTATTTATAAATGGTGGACAGAAACAAAAAATATGTAAATTTTATATTAAAAGGGTTATGATGAGAGGAACTTTCAAGAAACTTCAAATATTAACGTTCATCAAGTCTGCAACTTTTATTACACTTTTTTCAAGATGTCAATGGGTTGTAATTTTTATTTTCCATTGAATGCTATACTCAGCTTTCGTTGGTCAGCCTCATTGCTGTAGATATTATCTACCAAAAACTAGTTATGATCAAGCATGCTGATGCATGGAGGGAAAACCTGTATACTAACTGCTCAAATGCAGGAGTTGTGGAATGTATGAGGAGAAAGAGACATACCATCTAACAGGGTAATAAGGGACAGTTTTGAGCATTTTTCTTTAATAAATTCTTACCATTAAACATTTCATAAACAAGTTTGGGCTCATTTTAAAGGTATTTGCAAGGGCTATTGTATGGCAGCTCTGAAAAAAATCCATATGCTATTTGTAAGATGCCAGACACAAAATAAAAGCCTCCTGAACCAACCCTGGGAATGGGGTAAAAAGGGACACTTGAAATTAATGTCAATTTCAAAACATTTGAAGCATGCAGAGGCTGCTCATCCATTACTAACAGTACTCTGAAGTCCTCCTCTTCCTTTGTAGATGATGTAAATGTAGAATAAATGACAATTTCTGTGATTTTTACTGGTTTTTCCTTTATTGATATGATATTATGTTATCCATACATTACCGTATTATTGATGTGATGTTACCTAATCCATGGACATGCCATTGAGCATTGACAACAACCTTGACCACTGCAAGCATCATATCAGCAGCCATGTAGCATTTCTTCTGTAGGTAAGCTTACAGGACGGTTTGTAATTTCGCACCATTTCAATTGAGTCAAGTGAATTCACTATAACAAAAAAGATTATAAAAAACATAGGTACCTGAAACACAAAGGAATATTTTAGTGACAACCATCATATTTTTTAGAAAAAATTGTGGTTTAGGTTCTACAATTCTATCTATGACATTCTATGCACAGTTTGGCAATGACCAATGATGCACTAATTTTTTGTCAAGTGAATTTTTTTGCAAAGTGGGGTAAATCTAATCAAAATGATTTGTTAATTGATTTTTTAATTAACTGGAGCCTTTGCTAACCAAGGCTTTACTGTATATGCGTTTTTAGGGGTGTCCCTTATTAACCCATTGCATGGTGGCATTCCATAGTATAAATAAAAGAACATGAGCTTTTGGGAAATTGGAGCGCTCTGTCATAATTGGAGCGTCAAGGTCACTACACCTTCCCCCACGAATTCTACTCCACAACTGCGGGCGGGCTGCGTGCTGCA